CATCCAAATGGATAAGTTATAGTGGCGTCGTAGCTCTTGTGGTAGCTTCTTTAGGAAAACTTTTCCTTGATTGCTTTCCAATGAGACATCCTTCACATAATTGATTTGGATTACTAATGAAAGGCAATCCCTTTACCATCTTCTTTTTGGCCAACAACTCTAATCCTCCAAAATTCAAGTGCCCAAGTCTCAAGTGCCAAAGCCAAGTTAAATCATTAAAACAAGCCTTCAAACATTTAGCCTCGTCGGCTTGAATATTTAGTAAAAACATCCGGTTCTTTGTCATTGGAACCTTGGCAATCAAATTACCCAATGGGTCTCTTATCGAAAGACTACAATCCTTCATGAAAATATTTTAGCCTTTTTCAAAGAGTTGCCCCAAACTCAAAATATTGTTCTTCATATTAGGCACATAATAAACATTAGAGATAAATTGATGATGCCCATTCCTCAAACGAATCAATATTTTACCTTTCCCTCTTACCGGAATTTGTGATAAGTCTCCAAATGTCACTTTACCATTTATTGATTCATTAATATCAACGAATTTCTCTTTGCTACCACACATATGGTTGCTTGCACCGGTGTCAAGATACCACACATCTTCTTCACTCCTTTCACCTTTGTATGCCAACAACAAAGTAGGCTCCACTTCTTCATCAACATAATTAGCCTTTTCTTCAACATCGTTAGCAACATTTCTACATTTCGAAGCATAATGACCATATTTTTGACAATTGTAACATTGAATTTGAGACTTATCATACCTCCTTCCATATGATCTTGAGTAATTTCCTCTACCACGACCTCTTAGTTGTTGTGAGTCATGGACTTTTTCTTCATTGCTGGATGTGTGTTGACCGCTTCTTTCTCCTCTTCCACGGCCTCTTCCTCTTCCTCGGCCACGTGCATTTCCACGTCCTCAGCCCCTTTTGATTTCCTCCATGTTTTTCATCTTTTTCATTCAACGAAAACTTTGTTTGTAGCACTTGCTCCAAAGTTTCTTGTTTCTTCACCACCTTTTCTTCATGAGCTTGCAACGAACCCATGAGTTGATCAATAGTCATGGAATCCAAATCCTTTGACTCTTCAATGGCTACAACAATGTAGTTGAATTTGGAATCCAACGACCGAAGGATCTTTTCAACGACCCTTGTATCAGTCATGATTGTTTCGCCATATCTTCTTAGTTGATTTACAATAGCCAGGACCCTCGAAAAATAATCTGAAATTGATTCAGATTCCTTCATATGCAATGCTTCAAATTCACCTCGCAACGTTTGGAGGCGAACCTTCTTCACTTTATCAACTCCTTGGAAGGAGTTTTGAAGAATCTCCCATAGTTGCTTTGCATTTTTTGCACTAGCAACTCTTTGTAGCATTCCATCATCCAAACATTGATGGATGGTCGTCACCGCCTTTTGGTCCTTCTTTCTCATGGCTTGTAAAACATCTTTTTCAGCTTGAGACAAAGTTGCCTCATCTTCTGGCTCATCATAACCTTTGGAAACAACTTCCCACACATCTTGTGCTCCCAAAATTGCCTTCATATGGATACACTAATTTTCATAGTTATCTTTGGTGAATCGAGGCATTTGAAATGGAACCGAACTGTTTGCCATTTCTTCTCTCTCTCACAAACTAGCTCTGATACCACTTTGTTGGAAATAGTGGCCTAGTTACACACATAACTCTATACTATTTGGAAGAGAATAAAAATGGAGGAAGAACACTTTTTATTTCACTTGATTGAAAATGAGTACAATGTATGGGTTTATATAGGCTTCAAAACATAAATGAAAATGAAAATTAACACCCCACTAACATATCATTTAGTAGGCAAAACTCCCACTAACCCACTAACATGACCATTTACTAGTTGTAACTCTCATGCCCCCCACTAACTCTAATAAAAAACTCGCATAAATATAAAATACCAAATAAAAAAAACACCCATGACCTTCAAAGACATTTTAAAATAAAATAAAATTTAATTTCTAACATGCATAGCTCACTATTACGAAGTTCCACAAATATTATACGCAATTTTGTACGCATAATCCTACTTTTTCCACCTTACTATATGGCCCCTTCCTTTTACAACAATAGCTTCACCAATATCAAATAGTGTTTGTTGCTTCATGCATTTTAGACTTTCTTTGGCTATGATACACTATTAATTTTTTGTCGTCTTAAATTTTTTAGGGCAAATGGATCATGTCTAACATATTTCCATGAGTGCAGGAGGTGTGTCTAGTCCGGCACAGTGTCCACAATCACGGCTCTCCTTACGAAGCATCCGTACTACATTAATGCACATTAATCTGAACCCTGTATCCTCTACCATGTAATGGCATCATTTAAAATTATTTAGCCATTCTTTCTGGTAAGACTTATTCTTTTGCCCTTACAACGACATTTCTTCTTTATTACTTCAACCACGCTTCTTCTTTTTGCCCTTACCATGTAATGGCATCATTTAGAATTATGAGACTTGCTCTTTTTGCCCTTACAACCACATTGCTTCTTTATAACTTCCAAGTGAGAAAAATGACCATACCTTTGAATGCCTTGCATAGGGTCTACTTTCGTCATAATCCTAACACCCAGACCAAGATACGCACTCAAAATATTGACTAATACTGATTTCTGGCAAGGGACAACAGAGAAACATTAACAAAGAAGAGAATATGTTGGGAGGAAACTATTTTTTCAAGCATGAACCTCCCTTGAGTTTGATTTCTGGCAAGGGACAACAGAACAACATTAACAAAGAAGAGAACATAGGAAGTTAGTGTTCGATTTTAAGAAACTCCTTGAGTTTGTTTTAATTGTCTCCAAAAATTTGACAATATTTCTTTTTTTTTCTCCTAATTACTTAATTGCAGCATATGTAATGAATTTTACATATTCCCTATCCATTAAGACCCACAAAATATTCTTTGTTCTCCCCAAGTTAATACGGAGTAACAATAGTCAAAACATCCTATTGATTTGCATGGAATATTTGAGTTATTCAAAACCATGTTCTTATATTTACGTTTAATTAAATACATATATATTCAAGTCCTATTGATTTGCATGGAATATTTGAGTTATTCAAAACCATGTTCTTATATTTACGTTTAATTAAATACATATATATTCAAGTGTACACTTGCATATGCTATTCTAACCAACAAACCCATTCCCATCAACATCCTTTTTGTCTTGTCTCTCTAGCTTACTATGTGCCCAGTCAAAGTTTGTTTGGCTTTTTCGTTTATATATATTATCACTCGTGGGAAGAAAATTCCCTCCTATAAACGGTAAATTTTGTTTGGTTAAGTTTGTGATGCATGTTACAAAAAAAGGTGAATTGCAAGAAATCCCTTCGACTATTACTCAGTTGCGAAAAATTTTCTTTATGAATATTTTTGACAAAAAATTCCCCTAGACTATCTCAAAAGGGTTTTTTTAATCGATGTCTATTTAAATGATTTTTTGAAGCATTTTTCGGACAAAATTACCTCTTAACAAAAAAATTTCAAATAATTTATTATTATCATATTCAAACAAGTTTATCAATTCAAATCTTTATCATTGCATTTATAGATCCAATGAAAATAAATGGATGCTACAGAGAGTGTGACATATATGGCATCTTCCAAATTCAATATTCAAATGATCACGTATATTAAAATGAAGTGCATGCCTCTCTTTTAGTGATTGTAATTGTTATGGATTTTATGATGATGCTTGAATTTTGGTGGTTGTTTATGTCAATATATATGCAGTGATGATATTAGTAACTTTCTTCTAGGCCTGAGTATTACTTTTGTTGTATGGCTTATCAATTCAAATCTTGATTTTTTATGGTTGCTTAAAATTGTTTTGCCTCTCTTTGATTTGTCATTATAGTGAGAAAAAGTACAAATAAATAAAGAAAAGGAAAAACAAATTTAGAATAAAATAAATTTAAAACCTCAAAGTGAAAGGTGATCGAGAAAATGAGAAAATGACATAAAAATTAAACATTTTCTTATTCCTTATTTATTTTTATAAAAATGAAACATTTTCCTTATTTATTTTTAAACATTTTTTGGAAAATAATCTATTAAGGGGTAATTTTGTCAAAAAAAATTGCTTCAAAAAATCAGTTAAACAGATGTTAGTTAAAAACACTCCCTTGAGATAGTCGAGGGGAATTTTTTGCCAAAAATATTCATAAGGGAGGTTTTTCGCAACTAGGTAATAGTCAAGGGGAGTTTTTTGCAATTCACCTTACAAAAATTAAGTTAAATATATTTAATAATTTTTTTTGTTTTTTTTATAAGATGCATTCTAAACTAGACGAACAAGATTTACTGTTCCACTGAAGCACGGTAGGCATTAAAATTCCCAAAATTTTAAAAGGTTTAGGCAAACTTTCAAATGCGAGGCCCTTGAAAGTTTAAAGCCCTTCCAAATTAGAAGCTCGTGTTCAATTTGAGACCCTTCTAAATTAGAGGTCTTAGGCTAAGTCACACAATTCTTCTTAACGGATGTCGCTCTTACACTCCGAGCGCGTTCTCAAATTCGCTCTCATTCCCACTCCTGTTTTATGTTACTATCTTCTAGGCGACCGCTTGGGCCACCTGCCCGGCCAGCCCTGCATTAGAGAGGATTTGAGTCCCAAAATAAATAAATAAATAATAAATCTCAATGACCACGTGGAGAATTGTCCATGTTTGAATATTAATTAAAAAAAATGGAATAATTTTTTTGAAATTAACGAAGAATAACACGTGATCTTTCAAATTGCATGCATGGATAAATAGGATATTTCGGAGTACAAACTATGAAAGAACTACGAAATCCAATAATAAGAATAAATAATATGTACTGTTAACCTAGGAGTTAGTGAAGCTCAGTTTCTCTCATGCCCATATATATATAAACCATAAACCAATCCACAAAACAGTCGCCGAGAGTTCAAAACCTCTGATCTATATATATATATATTCAGCTCTGTTGCAAAAATGGATGCAAACACCATCCCAGATTCTGACTCCGCCGTTCTCGAATCGATACGGCAGCATCTTCTCGACGATTCAGACATTTCGACAATTTTTCCGGCAATAAGTTCTTGCAATGCACCCAGTTATTGCCCAAGTTTGAGTTGCTTTTTGCCGGAAAATATGGGAGAGATGATGTTGAGTGTGGATTATTTGCAAGATAGCGTGATTGAAGGTGAGAATGCAATGGCGGAACCTGTGGTGGAGAGTGGAGGTCACGCACCACCGGAGCGCAGACGATATAGGGGTGTGAGGAGGCGGCCGTGGGGGAAGTTCGCGGCTGAGATAAGGGACCCGGCTAGGAAAGGCAAGAGGATGTGGCTTGGGACTTATGAGACGGCTGAGGATGCAGCTCGAGCTTATGACCTAGCTGCTTTTAAACTGCGCGGCTCACGTGCTTTGCTCAATTTTCCACACCTTGTCGGCTCCAATAACTTGGAGCCTGTTAGGGTGACTTTGAAACGGCGTTCACCGGATCCGGAATCGTCATCTTCATCCTTTGAAAATGGCTTTCAGAAGTACAAGTTAACCAATTTTCAGAGAAGTTTCTGATTTTAGCTTTACTGGTTTAGGTGTAATGAGGAAATTTTTTTTTTTTTTTTTGGGTAGGACCGTAGGGGTGATATTACTTCAAGTTGCCATGAAATCCATCCTTCTAACTTTCAATAATTTGTAAATAAAATTGAAAAACGAAGGATTTTTTTTTTTTTTTTTTGTTGATAATATTGTCCCCATAATTATATTTTCCAATGAAGGCATTGAATCTAAGACTCTAGAGGTCTATTTGGCTTTGTTGTTAGGATGAAAAAAATGCTTTTGTTAGTAGAACCGTTAGGAAAAAAAATAAATAAATAAATAAATATAGAGCATCCCATTGATTTTACATAATTGCAACATATATAATGAATTTTATATATTCCCTATCCATTAAGACCCACAAAATATTCTTTGTTCTCCCCAAGTTAATACGGAGTAATAATAGTCAAAAAATCCTATTGATTTGCATGGAATATTTGAGTTATTCAAAACCATGTTCTTATATTTACGTTTAATTAAATACATATATATTCAAGTGTACACTTTCTTCTTCTTCTTTTTTCTTTTTTTTTTCAGTTTTCAAGTGTACACTTACATATGCTATTCTAACCAACAAACCCATTCCCATCAACATCCATTTTGTCTTGTCTCTCTTGCTGACTACGTGCCCAGTCATAGTTTGCTTGGCTTTTTCGTTTATATGTATTATCACTCGTGGGGAAGAAAATCCCCTCCTAGATAAATTTTGTTTGATTAAGTTTGTGATGCATAAAGTTAAAAATATTTAATAAGTTTTCCGATTTTTTTTTATAAAGTTCATTTTAAATTAGACGAACAAGATTTACTGCTCCACTAAAGCAATGTAGGCTTTAAAATTCCCAAAATTTTAAAAGATTTGAGTAACCATTCAAATGTAAGGCCTTGAAAGTTTGAAACCCTTCCAAATTAGAAGCTCATTCAATTTAAGACCCTTTCTAAATTAGAGGTCCTAAGAGACCGCTTGGGCCACCAGCCCGGGCCAGACCTGCATTAGAGAAGATTTGAGTCCCAAAATAAATAAATAACTATTCTTTCTTGATATTTTTATCTAACTAATAGCTGTTTCAAAATTTTCTATTCATATATACACACATATATATATATACTCTCTCCGTCCCATATTAATTGTCCAATTCAAAAATTTTGACTCATTACCACTTTTTATTTTTGAATCATTTGAGGTTATTTTTAGTCATATTCATTTTATATACTTATATACTACTTATATCCCATATTAGATGTCTACTTCGATAACTTTGACTCACAAAAATTTTAGGTCAAAGTTTTTTAAAAGAACAACTATTATGGAATGGAGGTAACATATTTGGGTATTGTAAGAACTCACCCAACAAGTGTTATTTTATCTCTATTCTCTTCTCTTTTTTTGGGGGTGGGTGAGAATATTTTTCTTTTTCCTTTTTCTTTTTCCTACTAGACTTTGAAAATGAGCTAATTGAATAAAAAGAAAGGAGGAAACAAGTCAAAATAAGGAATTGATGTCTACTCTTTAGAGTGAAAGCCGCTTGCTCAGTAAAATTTGCTAAAAACAATTTTATCTTATACTTTTCGATCAATATGATTTAGACAGTTGGTCAATGACGAGTGTAGATTTATGAATTCTGTCATTTTTTTACATTTCGTGCAAAAATAAGAAAAACCTACAAAAACTAAATTAAAAATGGTATAGAATAAGCAGGGTCGAACCATACAAGATTTAAACTCGTGAATCAAAATTAAAACCAAAATTTAAAGAAGAATAACTTTAAAACAATTTAATGATTTTTTTCTAATGAACTAAAAATAAAATAAATAAATAAGACAAATAAATTATGATCAAATAATAAGAAAAGTCTCAAGGAAAGAATCCACCACCACAGCTTACTATAAATAAATTTGTATATTTCTTTTATGTAAATTTTCCTATTATAAGCAAATCACTTCACCAGTCCAATTACAACTTGGAAAGATGAAGGAATAGCGTGAAATAACAATTGCTTGAGAATATATTTTACTTAATCTGATATATCTTTGGTGAATAGAAATAGGCATTCTCCGAATTACCATTAATTGGCAAACACGAAGGATCATTTTTCTAATTTTTTTTATCAAAATAAGAACACAGAATAGAAGAGTAAAATAATGTAAGAGAAAATTTCATAGAAGAGTTAAACTAAAGTTACTTATATTTCAGCCATGGTGCTTCATCACTCCCTTGAGAAGGGGGTGTTTAAGCTAGCATAATAAGAAAACAAAATAAAGAAATAAAGACAATCTTCATAACAAAAATTATAAGAAAATAAATTGAAGACAAAAATTCTCTATAACTTTTATTATTTTATCTCACTAACAATGTACATCCTACCTCCTCTACATATGTCCCTATTTATAGAGTTTAGAGTGGAACGATCGGGAGCAGAAAATTCTAATTACAGAAGTGAAAATAAAATAAAATAAAATCTTCCTAAAATCTTGCATCTTTCCAATTTGGCTTGATTTTTTTTCCAATTTGGCTTGATATTTGACTTGATGTGATGGAAAGTCAAATTTGAATTTGACTGATTGTATAATCTCATAAACTTGCTATTTTTATCTCTTTTCTTCTTATTCTGAAATCAGCCCCTACAAAACATGAAAGGTAAGGATAAGAACATTTATCTAATAAAAAATATTAATTAATCATTTATTATTAAGTATAAAATAACAACTTTTGTGCACTTATCAGTCAATGTGATTTGATTATAATTTGATAAGGTTGAATTGTACACACAATCTTCATAAAAATTGCAAGTTGAATTTCATATTGTGATTGCATGCTTAATAATTGATTTGATTGTATAATTTGTGGTGTCTAAAAATTTCGTGCTTTAAATTCTCTTAAATTCTTCATAAATTTTTGGATCTCATGTATGCTTGAAATTCATGAAAATTGCTATCTCATAATTTTTGTTCAAATATTAGAAAATTAAAAAATGAAAAAATATATAGAAATATTTTCCTTTTAGTTTTTATTTGTAATAATCATATTTGATTGGATGGAGATATCATGTGTATGATTTTGAGCATGATTGGCTATCTTTATCTTATGAATGAAATATGAGTTATTTTAGATATTTTTCTTTGGTTCCATTGCTACCATATATCATCATGTTTTTATGTTTATTATTATATCATATGCATGGATCGATGATAGTTTTGATCTCTATTCTTGTTAATTCTATCTTATTATTTCTTTTCCTTTCTTGTTAAGCTTTGTTTGTCAATTTGTAATAAAAATGGGGAGAAGTGTGCATAAATGAGGGGAAGAATTTCTATAATTGGGGGGAGACATATATATATTGATATTCATATATTGATATATGTTGATTGTTTATCTTTCTTAATTAAGTTTCACGGGTAATTTTGCTGAATTCATATGCAGATTACAGAGTGAGAAAACTACCATTGGTGAAGCTTCATCTGGTTTTGTCTATTTTTGGACAATCAATGTAATTTACTTTTTCTGCTTGGGTAAATTACTTGTTGTCTTAGGGGCTTTGTCACGAAATTGCCAAAAGGGTAGATTGTGAGACATAAATTCGGAGTTGGCAAATTTCGTTGTCAAAACAAGTCCAATCGAGTTGTAAAATTTTGGTTAAGCATTTCAAGATTGAAGATCGGAAGCGGATTTGAAGAAGTTGAAGTGTTCATACTTTAATACACTCCGGGATGATAAGAATAATGCTTTAGAAAGGTACGTGAGTGTGTGAGAACACTTAGGAAGTTTTGAAAATTTGAAATTTTTAGGAAGTTTACATTTTGCTCATCTTGAACTTGTAGGAGAATATTCGAATAGGTTCAAGTTAAACTGGTAGAAGAATCAAGGAACAGGTTTAACTTTTGAAGCTTTATAATTTTTCTATTATGTCCATTGGAAACCAATAGCCAATCTCTGAAGGAATCTTCTCTGGTCATCTTGAACCGGTAACCAATTCCTGAACCGGTTCAAGACTGCTGAATTGTTTAGGTAACTTCAGTTTCCTGATCTGTTTTGATTCCCTATTGGTTTAGACTTCCTTCCAAAATCTTATGTACGAAATTAACTTGTTTTCCTAGTACAATTAGGTTTTCAAAAGTCTATAAAAACATGTTTTCTCAATTAGGATTTCACGATTTTTTGCATACAAAATTCTGATTTAATTAAGAGAGCTATCTTTGTGAGATTTTTATTCAGAAAATCAATCTGATTTTATTTTTGAGAGCACACACATAAACACAAGAGTAATTTAAGAGTGTTGTTCTCTATCTCATCGGAATTGGAGCATAATTGAAGATTCTGAGATTCCGAAAAGCATATTTATTTGTTCTTCATCAAATTCAGATCTTGAAGAAAAGGAGTAAAGCGATACACTTTGAAGGGGTCAAAGCATTCTTGGATTGTTGTTTGATCTACCTGTAACTCTTCTACAAAAGTCAAGAGTAAGCCTGAGGTCGAGAGCTGTTGGACGGGGGAGTCGCAAAGCCAAGGATTGTCAGCGATTGGTTTTTGGTAGAATGATAAGGTGTGAGCCTAAGTCAAAGTTCAATGTACATACTTTGCTTCAAACATACTGAATTGTTTTGCTCTGGACTGCACAGTTCACAAGGTTTTTCCCATAACAATATATTGACTTATTCTGTCAATTGGGTTTTCCTCGCTAAAAATCCTTGTATCATCTTTCAAACTTTATTTATTTTACCTGCACTTTATTTTTGCATTGTGGGGTTTGATTTTAGTTTTATTTCGGTAAAATTAAAATAAGTAAAAATTAGTTAAAGGAGTAAGTAAAACCTATTCACCTCCTCTTAATTATTTATCCATATTATCTTTCACAACCATTTCATTGTTTGCAACTCACACAAGTTCAAACACTCAACATTGATTCCTTTGAGTTACTAATGGAAATTTTATTTTATCATTTTATTTTTAAAGAATAAAAGAAATAAACTATCAAACACTTAATTTAGTTCAAGTGCTATCTCTTATTAATTTTATTAAAGCTTTATTATTATTTTTTTTTTTTTTTTTTGGGTAAATCATGACAGTGTCCGACCCTTAAAGCACTCCATGACTAGAGACTCCGCTCCTCCTACATGCATCAAACACTTTTTTTAAAAAAAAAAAAATTGAAGATAACTCCAAGAAACTTCAAAATCTCGATCTACAAAATAATGTGAAATTTCCTTGAATTCTTTATTAAGGTTTTAGAGACCACTCGAGAGCCAGTACAAATGATATATTTCAAATGTCCAATATATAGCAGATGGGTTTTTTTTTTGTCATTCCAAAATGCATATTAAGAAAGGGCAAAAAAAAATGTTAACGTGCCAT